TAGTTTTGATAAAAAAAACCGTACGATTGAAAGCAATCAAATGGCAAGTAATTACTACATGTTCTTAATAATAAATGCATGGAATGCCGTGTACCAATGTATCAAATAAAAACGAGTGAACAATAATTTGAAAACATTTGCAAGCGTAGAAATTCGCTTCATTTGCTGCACTTTTGAAATATTATGACTTAGTTCTTTTTTTTAAATGAGAATCGCTATTTCTCCCGCAAAATATTGTCTCAAACGGGGATCGAACCCTGCTGGATGACTGAAATCCAAAAAATAAACACTTTCAGAAGCTCAAATGCTACTAAAGGCATGTATGTGTGATAAAGATGTTGGATGTACCGATTGGTGTAGACATCCCGCTTCCGAAGGCTCACTGAAGACTCGCACACCCGACAAAAGCGCACATGTAGATCAACGATGACAATCAATAATTCGTAAATCTTTTTCTAACGCCATTTATGCGGCCCTTACAATTTATATGTACTTTGGATAAGCCCTGCTACTGCTGTGCGAAATCTGATGTTGTTTTATAAACTGCGGATTTTCCTGTGATTTTATGTATGGTAGCAAAAAATGAGAAAAGGGGGGTCGTATCTGCGCCTAATCTAAATTTTTCCGGAGCTATTGAAGCTTGTTAGCTGCAAACTTGCTGTAATGCGAGGCCATCCCTCTAGTTTTTATCATAAGAATTTCAGGCTGTTTTATAACTTCTCTGGTAAGTTACGAAATTTTAAGCTCAAAAATCCCAATTTTTGCTTTTTAGGATCGCATCTAAATTTGCGAGAGCCTGATCTAAATTTTTTCGAGCTCACTGCTCCTCAAGGCTGAAACTTTTTCTATGGATAGTCTGGGCACTATGCTACAGAACCTGTTCTTTGCAGCCTCTCAGTCTTTTCCTGGCCTTAGTTACGAATTTTCAAACTACCGTGCTCATGCATGTTTTTGACGTCGTTCTGGACGGCGCTAAAGCGGTTTTTTTCGCAGGAAAAACTGTGGAGGAAGTAAGAACTGAGCTTTTTAGTCCAAAACATCTTTTGTAGTTCAAGAATGTCGTTTTGTTCTCCGTGTAAAAATTTGTGTCGCATATGGGAATCGAATTTGCTGGCCTGAAGTATGCCTGAAAATTCAAAAGTAAACCTGCAGAATCTCAAACATTATTTAAGGTGTGTATATGTGCTAGAGATGCTGGGCGCACCCGAAATTCTGCTTCCGAAGCCTCACTGAAGTTCTCACGCAGGTGTTTTTTTTTTATGAGATTGACATTAGTTTATGCAGGTTACCGCGAGAAATGTGGGCAGGGGAGGTAAGGGGGATAGATGGGGAGGGGAAGGAAGGGGAGGGGAGGGGGGGCGAGGTCGTACGGATGGGTACCTTCAAGGGGGGGGGTCGTAAATGAGGGTCCAGGATCGCATCAACACGCTTGACCCTGTGTGAATTGTAGTATTAGAATCTACGGTCTTAGATCATTGTGCAACTATCGCTCCCGTTGTTCGCGGCAGAGTGTATGACGGTACTATCTCTGTTGTGGTCCTTTCAAAATCTTCATCAAATCATCAAACTACCTTACTTAGAATTTGTGGCTGTTTTGATGTTTAATCTAGCGCAACAAGTTCTTCAGTCTCGATCCCTTCAAGTAGTTGCGGTAGTTTGATCAAGTGCACAGATATATCGACAAGAACTAATCATTTCAAAATCTATGTAAAGAATTCGCTGAAACGTTACTTTCTACGGACATTAAGTCGTTGCATTGTTCACACATGTTCGTCAGTTATATCTCGAGTTCTGCTTGGAGACTTAGTGCTCAAATAGGTTCAAGTAACTTACGTCGAATGCTCATATGAAGCGGACAAATCAGTCGTCACTATGACTTTGCCGCTGTTTTACGTTCCTGTTCACTTCTCATTTTCTTTATGCTTACTGAAATTAATAACAAAGTTTTTTGCTGTTATTATCGTAGTATGGACTCTTAATTCCTGAATCCTTGAAAAACTTCGCATCGCGTTCAATATAGCACTAACAGTAATCTTTGATTCAACTGGATAGGCGGCTTGAAAGCGAGGCTTTCTGACCTAATCAGAGACGCCCGCGCCCGCGACGCGTGTGCGTCTCTCTCGCGCGCGCTCACTCTGATCATTTCCCAGCTTTAACTAGGTCACGAAGCCCCGCCTTCCAGCCGCCAATCTGGTTGAAGCAAAGGGTATGTAACAAGGATGTGAATTTAACTCTTCGATTGCGGGAGTGCTGTATACAAGTACAGTCGAATAGATTTTCTGTTTAAAGGCAGTGGCTCGGCAAAACCAAATTCGTTTCATGAAAGGTTGCTTGCACTCTCAACATGCGAACGGTGCAGGTCCTAGCGCACAGCATGCTAGCTCTGCTCAAAAATTGGTCCTAAACCCGTGTACACAAGCTACTCTTACACACGCTCGGACGAGCTTGCGATATCTCTCACACCGTCAGAGGCGGCATGCCGCAATGCTTGAACATGAGGATTCCACAACGACTCTACGTCTTTGACCGTGGCGGGAGCGTTCCGCTCGTTCAGATTCAAAATAAAGGGCCTTGAGAAATGCTGGTTTTTGCCATTTTCGCGTTCTTAAGGGTGAATCTTCGGATTCAGAGCGTCGAATCACCCCAGGTATGGGAGAAAACCACAGATCGAGATTTGCCGAGTCACTGCCTGTAATATAGTGTGCTTGCACTGCAGGTAAATTGCGTAAAACCTGCGCGCAAACAAGTAGCTATGCGCGTGACGGCATTACTGATTGGCTAATTGTTCATGCGCAAATTCTACCGCATTTCACTTGCTGTGCAAGCATAATATATCAAGCGGAAAATCTACTCGAATGGTAGCAAAATTCATTATGGAAATAACATGAGAGCAGAGTGGCAGCGAAAGGAAGCCACTTCGTTGAAAACACTCATATATGCGTGACGCACAATGGACACCAAGCTTGCCGCGGCTCTTTGCTTGTTATCAGGGATTTGGAGCGATTTGGTTGTCATTCTTATCTTATGCTGTTGTCCTTTCAATGTTGGACAAGGCCGAGTACAGTCTCGTTCTTTGATGATATATCTCAAGCTAATTAAAATGCTGAAGGGTGTAAATGAAACAAGTAGATGCAAGGATGTGTACTCTTTTCAAAATTATGTATCAATTGCAGATATCTTTTTTACGATAATTGTCATCTACGACACATCCATTAATTCCCCATTCGCTGATGTACTTTCCATAATAGCACTTATGGGGATTAAAGAAATCGTAGAAAAGCCAGTTAATCTTATCGCTGCATTGACCTGTAATCGGAAGATGTGTTGTTGTCGATAAATAAAAAAAATAATTTTGTACCGGGGTTGCACATTTTCCCTTTCCCTGCTAACATGTCTCGCCCGTAGTGAACCTGAATAAGTTTGTAAGCAGTAGTTGTATTAGAAGTCACTGGTAAAACAGCTTTTTAGAAAACCTTCCCATTTAATAGCTCAGTTAACGAGGAGCGGCTAAAACATAACAAAGAGGGGCAAACATGGGCGAAAAAAGGAACTTTTTACAGCGAACATATTTATCTCATTTCGAATGCGCTTTCTTTCCTAGGCAAGTTTGTTTATTTGCATTTATACAAGCATGCATTTATGCACATGCAAGCAGATTTGCTTGTAAAGGTGCGCGGGGTGAAATGTGCTAAGAATATTTCTAGATTGTGTGATCAAATTCCTTGTCTCCTTTCACCATATAGGTTGCAACAATACGGAAGTAGATAATAGGTCACTCCAGAAACGTTTTGATTGCGATCGCACATTCACTACACTCTTCGCGTTCATATTCTACATGTCCTCTGACAAACTAAATCACCACGCCGTATTTAGATGTGCTTTCCTAAACTATACATGCAAACGAAGAAAAATTGCAGGTTATCGTGTGGTCAAACAAAAAGAACTTTCTCGGAAAAAAAATTTTTTGGAAATTACATGTCTATAAGTAACAACGAGTCAGGGCCCCCTTGCGCATAGTATCTCTCTCAACGAATGCGCTACACACAACTAGCAAAAACAAGTTTGTTGCCAAATTTTCTTTTGTGGTTATTCTCAGCTCTCTTGGTGTCCTTGATAAGATGAGCTGAAGATCGGAACTGGTGACTAAGACATTGCTTATTGTGTTATAAGGCGCGTGGAAAAGTGGTGCAATTGCGACTATGCACCTTCATTTGTCGCTGATTTGCATATTGGCACGCCAATTGCAAGATTCCCTTTAACAAATTTTTCTTTAACTCAATTTGACAATTTTCTGTCCACTTGTTTCATCGTTCAGACACCAACTTAAACGATTATTAGCCGAAAACTACTACGAACAGAGTGCACCGTAATGGAATGTTTCACAATGCTCACCTCCTGTTTATGATGGCGGTATCCGAACTTTTCGGGTGGGACATGAGGTACCCCATCATTGTAATGGATGACGCGGTATGCATAGTCGATCTGCAAAGGGTAAAAACCAGTGACAGTATTAGCTCCCAAATTAGAGCTTGTTTCAAGACTTTATACTAAGATAGTCTAAGCATGCATAGTTTCGCTTTTTGCTTTGCATAGTAAAAGAAATAAACTCTGCTTGTAAAGACTTTCGAATTTCAAAACGTGTGAGGCTATTTCCCAAACCTCTTCCTTACTTTCTTCTTTCTTTACATGTTCTAAATAGAATTTTCATAAGCGCTACATTCTTATAAATGTTTCCTTTTCTTCATTTCCAAATGACCACGGATAGAATAATGTGCGGGGACAGATGCTGCTTATGCTTCAAAACTTTTTGACATACAGATGTGCTTGTAGTCGTACACCGTGTTGTCATGCCAAATTATTGAGCCTCCCAGCAAATGTCCCGTCGCCTGTCCTGGGCTGGCCGAACGTCACTAACTTTGTATTTGACGCTTTTGCTTCTTTTTTCTCCAGTAAGAAAGATGCCGCCAGAGATGCCAATGCGCCTCCCAGTGAGTGCCCAGTTATCTGAACTCACATAATAAGGAAAGTTTTCTCCTCAAAGCGCGTACCCAAATATCTTTTTTTGAGTGTGACCTAATCAGATTTACAACATCGCTATACATCCTCCTCCACAAGCTGTTGAAAGCACTCAAAAAGTAGGTGTTCACCGACGCACCACCGAACCATTTTTTCTAAAAAAAACTTTTTCCGCTCATACAAGCATTTTGTGATATGCTTGACTTACATTTAAACCGCAATAAGCACCCTCCTTGAGAAGCTGCATGACAGAGTCTGTTCCTCTGTAAAAAAAACGAATTGTAATATTGTTGAAATAAAGTTGGTATTAGATATTATCGTTGTTATACACTTATTGTTAGGGATAATTATCGGAGGTACTTTCAAATATAGGTAAGCCTTAGGTCTAGATTAGGGCCCTGCACGCATCGCTTTTTAAGTTTTTCCAAAGCAGAGTTACCACTTACCTTTCATTAATTTTACAAAGTCTCTTTTGGAACACAGCGAGCATACACAAAATAACACATATCAACGAAAATGGAGCAAAAAATTTCAACTTATTTACGTTCTTGATCTTGACAAGTATGAGTGAAGTAAGCGAACGTAGGTGGAATGCATGTGCGAAGGGAAAGAGGAAGAAAGAGGGCAAAAATACGCATGTTGGCACCGCAACTGAAAGCTTCAATTGCGAATTCCGCTTGACTTGAAAACGCTTTAAGGTAAGCGATGCTTGCAAATGGCGTAGTTTGAAATGCAGTACAGTATAGCGAGCTGTTTCAATTAGAAAAAGAATGACAGGCTGTGCTAGCATTCCTGCCCAAGAGTAAATTTTTGAATAACCTCGAGAAGTCATGAGTTTGGTTCTGGACTGCAAACAAGCTAATGTTTTAACCTTGCTTTTTTCAGATCGCTTGCTGAAAACACGGTGAAGCATGTCATTCTTGTAGTATCCTCTCTCTAAAAAGTGTGTTGGTCTACTTGGTCTCTCATATGCTTGTATGACATTTTTACGATATACATTTTTTCTGCAAATGTACGAAGTTTAGCCTGCCTCCAACACCTCCGCCGCGGGCCCTAGTCAACGCCTATGTGGATGGTAAGCATCTAAAGCAATGTTAATGAAGCCGTGTAATCGTTCAAGGACTTGTCGTTGATCATATAAAAACATATAATTTCAGAGTAACCTGAAACTCAGCACTATTGCATTCCTGCTGGGTATCACAGCCGTATATGCCGAACATGAGACTGGTACAGATATGCGCAAAGGGCCTCTGCAGTCCACCTTGTAAAATTTGACGTCCTGAACAATCTTTGGCTTGAAAGCATCATCTCCTTTGAAAGAACGAAAATTCTTTTTTATACGGGTAATACATTGCATCATTAGACTCTAGTGCACATCATCACACTTGTAGCAGCTTTATGTAAAAGTGCAGGCGATGAGCGTAAAGGTTAGAGCTTGGAAATGCTTACTGTAAGATCTTGTCTGTACGAATACGAAAATTAAATTTACCTCTATATGGCCAGGAGTATGTTAGCAGCTTTGCCTGAGCTAATTTGATTTTTGCTCGTCTGCCATGCTTCAATTTCGTTGTTACTTATGTGATGATGACAAATGTATGCATGGCAGCTGTGAATACGTGAAGCATATCTTCTTGTGTCTCTAACGAGGATAGTCTATGAGGACAGGCAGCATGTTTCTACCCTTTGATTCAACTGGATTGGTGGCTGGAAGGCGGCCTCGTGACCCAGTTAAGGCTAGAGAATGATCAGAGAGTAAGCGCGCGAGAGAACGCAGACTACGTCGCGGACGTGAGCGGTCTTAATTCGGCCGCAAATACCCGCCTTCCAGCCGCCGATCCAGCTGAATCAAAGGAAACTCCCTCATTTGCTCATTTGTTTCATTCACTTCTTACTTTCAAGCAAAGGCAAAGATCTTGAAAGTTAATACACCTATTCTGAAGAGCACAAATGTATTTGCATACAATGTGCCCCTACTTTCATGATAAGAATCACGCTTTACCTGTCCGTTAAAGTGATTTTTGACGCATGCACCCGGATTGTCTGAATAAGCTGCAGCAGCCAGAGGGAGCATGTTGTTGTAAGCGAAATCATCGGAAAAGACGGCGGACTGAGCTCCGACCACCACAAGCGAAAGCGTAGCAATCAACCCAAACCTCCTAAAACTTTCAATGACTGAACATCTGCTTGAACAAACTTGGCTAGTTTAAAAAATAGATTTTGATATCAAATGAAAAACCCCTTTGTGTCTGAAATTTTAAGGCAAGTTCTCTTCTCCCTCGTTCCAGCCTGAGTTATCTTATGGACAAAGGCACCAATCCTTTCAATATAGTCAATCTATGTTATTTTACTTTTTCGCCTTCAAAATATAGTAAACGCTTCAAAACACTTCAGTATACGATTTTGCTAAAGAGGAGTCATCCCACAATGTTATTGTTCACTGTGTGCGCAAATTTTTGCTTTTTTCTTGTTCCCTAAATTTCAAAGAGGCATCTTTCAGCAACCTTTAGAGACCATTTGCAAACAGCTGCCGCACAACTGCAAATCGTTCATCGGGATCTGGGGAAGGTTTCCGGAAACTCACATGTTGTCCCAGATCGCTACAGCCAAATAAAATTATCTTTTTTTGGAGATTCAAATTGTCATAAAAAATATCTGCTAAAAGTTGCTTATTTACCTCGACTTCTCAAACATATGGAGTGTCGAAATTGCACGAAACTACTTATGCTGAGAAGGTAATAATTTCATCTCTGTTGCAATTTTGACATATTTTAACACAACCGTTTATTGCACTTCAATAACGCTTCATACTACCTGCCCTTTAACTCTTCTGACAATAAACCTCTCACGATTAAGTAAACGCGTAAAATTTGAGTGCCGATTTGGTTTTGAAAAAAAAAACTTTTGCACGACTTATTGATTTCCTTTGCTGATTGCTAAGAAAAATTTGCGGGCCTTCTTTGAAAAAACATCTTTCCATATGATGTGCGGATTACCCACTCCTTCGACATCAAAAACCATCAAACGCTTTGCGGATAAGAGCAAAAGCTTTTTTTCTACAAGGATCCAAAGAAGTATTTGTAGCGATCTAAGCAAGCACGAACAATCTTTCTCGCATGATGAAGTTATCAGAAGTTTCCGAGAATTTTTTCAGAGCAATGCTAACTTTTGTTTTGTGGAAAAGCAAAAAAATGTGAAATTTTTATAGTTAAGAAGTTTTTTTTCGTTATGTAGGTAGACAGGATTTCTATTAAGTTTTATGCTAATTATACTTAACACTTGACACCCATCATGATTGAAATGACGGCTGAAAATTTTTTTGTTTTACATAATTTCATAAAAAATTGCCGCCAGAATCCAATGGAGTGCGAAAAAAGCAAATTTCCAAAAATAAAAAAAACAAAAATCTCTAAAAACTTCTCAGATATGGCGCGAGTCTGCCATTTTGCGCTCCGGAGCCCTGCCATTTCACGCATTTTTGTGGTCCGGGGCTCTCCCAAAAGTGGCGCACCTCCGGAGCAAAGATTTGCGCGTCGCGGAGAGGGGTCCCATTCATGCACCGTGACGTCACGGTGACGTCACAACAGGACGAATGGGACCCCTCTCCGCGACGCGCAAATCTCTGCTCCAGAGGTGCGCCACTTTTGGGAGAGCCCCGGAGCACAAAAATGCGTAAAATGGCAGGGCTCCGGAGCGCGAAGTGGCAATCCTCCGTTGGGGAAAGCCCGCGGCTCTGCCATTTCTGCTCCGGAGGTATGCCGTCGACTGTCTGAGTTCCTACAATCTCATATTCAGGCAAGCGCTTCCGTCGCAAAAGAAGAGTTACGAGTTCTGCATTGTCCAAAAAGATTTTCAATCGTTCAAAATTTCTCATAAAGACCATTGAATGCAGTTTACATCCTGCGGTGATAATGAAGTAATCCAAAGGATCTTCTATATTTTCAAACTTTTCGTGCTCAGAAATCAGAAAGTTTCAGTAACTTAAGACCTTTCATGAGTAGGATAAGACCAGCCAACTGAAAGTGTAAAATTATTTCTAGAATTGCTGTTGCAAAAGCTGGCTTTTGTTGGAACCTGGGAAATGCAAGGAAAAGAAAACTTTTTGGGTGAATGTGGGATCTAGCTGCAGCTGGTTTATATACTGTGTTTGTAAGCCCTGAGTTTGGTCTTTTCGGCAATAACTTTTGTGACTTGCTCAAAAAGTTTGGATTATGACGTCCGTGTGCTTTAGTTTCAGAAAACTTTAGGTTAAGCTGCTCAAAAATGACTTCGAAATCTTCTCAATTTGTTTCACCAATACGTTGGGTTAATAAGTTAATAAGTTTGAGATACAAATCCGATTGGTTTCTTGCATCATGTGATATAATCTTGGTTTGTTTGAACCGTATCTTAATCTTGGTTTGTTCCAAATCACCCGAATTATAAAACTTTTGCTACAATATTCTGGTAAATCACATACAGTATACCTATAGTGTTTTGAAATGTTTCTATCACAAGGAGACCAACCTTTCGAAAAAAAAAGATTGGATAAGTGAACAACGTCTTTGAGTGTCTAACGGTTATCAAATCCTTAGCCTTTAGAAAGTATGGTACAGCAAAAGGTGAACAAGTTTTAGTTTGCAACAGTCTTTGATTTGTGTCACTAGAAACGAAGATTCAAGATCCTTGTTTCTAGTGGCACGAAAGTGAAAGGTTGAAAGCGGTACCTATAGTTGCACCATTTGAGGAACATTAAAAACCATACATTAGCCATTTGACTTTTCCAGTCAGAGAGTCTGTTGTAGTTCCATGAGAATCTTGCAAACATCAGACGAAAATGGCCGGGGAACGAATGGCAGCGCGCTTTTTCCAAAGGTCATCAACTCAACAGCGAATTCGGTGCTATGCAAGTCTGTTAAGAATAAAAACATGGCCTTTTAGCTTAATAAATCTCTTAAGCTGTCACTTGCTAAGTCTGCAATCTTTTGGTGAAAAATTGACTTGAATATCCACAAGATTACTTTAAAGGCAGCGGCTCGGCAGAATGATAACTTTGGGATTTTTAACCTTCTCGGCTCTCCTAGATGAGCTAAGTCGAAGGCTTGCTTTGCAGCTTCGGAAGATTAACAATAACCTGTTTTTCCAGACCTGAAAAGTGCTATTTGGGCGGGCCACGAAGTATCTGGTCGAGCCAATAATCCAATTGCCGCCGAGATGTGTAGGTGTCTCCACAGACGAGCCAAACGCGCTTTAGAGGCATGTATAAGCCGTCCGCTCAAATAGCACTTTTCACGTCTGAAAAAGCGGGTTATTGATATCCTTTGAAGCTGCAAAGCACAGTTTGTGCTTTGCAACTTCAAAGACTTAGCTCATCCAGAAGAACCGAAAACGGAATAAACCAAAGTATGTCATTCTGCCGAGTCGCTGCCTTTGAAAGCAATGTTTGGAAAAAATTTGATTTCCTGTTCTTCATTTTTTCGGAGCTTTCTCCATGGCTTACCCATATCTGGGTGCGCGCTTGAAAATGGCCAAAATGGGCTTTTTTCGAGTCGCGTCGTGGGCGGTCCGGACGAAGGGGGGGGGACCTGGAAAGCTTTTGAAGTGGATTTGAGGCTTTCTAGACGCGTTTTTTTTGCTCCACACTTTATTGATAGATTAGTTGAGGATCTGCTGTTGCAATGCTGTAAAATCCAAGTACCCATCATTTTGCAGGAACGCTGCCTTTGAGCTGCACTTACATGGTCCCAACATTTTTGTTTTGGATCTATTTCAAGATAGTAAGGTTGAATAGCTTATTCAACCCTCTTCTAGGCTTTTTCAGGAATTTGAAAGGCTTTCAAAACGTTTTAAACACTGAAATGGGTCTGAAATGGATATCTAATGTCCATGTGGCAATAAAGATCGGCCTCTTGACAAACACCCAAAATGGCAAGTAAACTTTGGGAAACGCATGTTCAGTGCCTGCCATAACTCTGTATGTGAGACGCTACTGTAAGAATACGACACTCGCTCAGATAATCGCCGGGGGCAGGCGGCCATGCGATTTATGGGCGTGCGGGCACCGGAAAAATAGTTCGCTGATTTCTTGCGATCCGCTTGCAGATATTTGGAGTTATTTTGGTGAAATTTTGGACGAGCGCTTGGAGAACAGTCGCGGTTTCCTCATGAATTAGCTGCGGCGCAGTGGCCGCATTCTCGCGGACTTTCCGCGAGAATATGCAAAATTTTTGGGGGCCGCACGGTCCTTTATGGAGGACCGCGCAGCCCCCAGGTACTTTCCGCTGAGAGAAAGTACTTCAAACTTGAGTAATTAAACCAACGGTGACGCCTCTGCCACACAGAGTCTTACCTGCGCTCGACGTATACCCGAAACTGCGTAAAAAGAGTCCGGGCGCCTGCTGAAAGTTCGGCCAGCGCTTGCTGAAAGAGATTGTTTGACGAGCGCCTGCAGAAAATTCTGTGTTGCTGCCCGCTGGCAGAACATTAGACAGTAAAGGAAGTACCGCTCAGATAACCGCCGGGGGCAGGCGGCCATGCGATTTTGAGCAAGCGCGCACCGGAAAAATAGTTCGTTGATTTTTTGCGGCCCGCTTGCAGAAATTTGGAAGAAAGTTGACAAAATTGAAGATGAATGCTTCAAGAACAATCGCGGTTTCTTTATGGATTAGTCTGCGGCGCAGTGGCCGGGTTTCCGCGAGAATATGCAAAAATTTCGAGGGCCGCACGCTCCTTTGTGGAGGACCGCGCAACCCCTAGGCACTTTCCGCTGAGAGAAAGTACCTCAAACTTGAGTAATTAAACCAACGGTGACACCTCTGCCACACAGAGTCTTACCTGCGCTCGACGTACGCCCGAAAATACCTAAAAAGAGTCCGAGCGCTTGCTGAAGGTTTGGCCAGCGCTCGCTGGAAGATATTATTTGACGAGCGCTCGCAGAAAATTCTGTATTGCTGCCCGCTGGCAGAACGCGAAAGTACCGCCCGCTGAAGGTTTGGCCACGCCCCAAAATTCTGCTGACCGCCTGCAGAAAAGCGCGAGTTTGCGGACCGCCTGCCCCCGGCGATTATCTGAGCGCTCGCTGAAGGTTTGGCCACGCCCCAAAATTCTGCTGACCGCTTGCAGAAAAGCGCGAGTTTGCGGACCGCCTGCCCCCGGCGATTGTCTGAGCGTGATCAGAGATCAGGCAA